GATAAAGGATAAAAAAGGGGAAGGAAACGGAGGAAAAAAGCAATAGTTCTACGTCAGATTCTTTATAACAATTTAAAGAAGAGATTTCCTTCTTTTTTGGTGTAATAATTGACCACTTCTACGCCACTATTTAGATGCATTGCAAATTTCAGAGATTGAGCTGAGCCTTTCTTATAACAAGGCTATCAAAAGTTAAGCTACATCTCCTGAGTTGATGACCTTGAAAAATTTGAGATACAGTGATTTGCTGATCAAGCTTCATGCGGTTACAAAATGACAATTTCTATATTTCTTTAACTGATGAATCTGTTGAATCAAACACTAAATTAACGCGCAAATCAAGATTAAAGTAACCCAGTTGCTCGAGGAAAAAAAATAATCTTGACCCTTTAAAATTTATCAACAGAAGAAGAACTTTTTACTCATTTTTCTAACTTTTTTTCTTTAAAATTGCACTAAACAAAAATATTTCTAGACAAAGGTCACTAAAAAATTTTGCATCTTTTATATGCAAAAAAAAGATTATTTTTACATATTAATAACCGATAAGTTGACGCGAAACGTTTGTTATTTGAAAAGCATTACAACTCGCTCGCAACAGTTTTCTGTATGAATTTTGAAATAACTATTACTATTTGTTGATACATACCACAAGCTTTTTGCCATGATTTCCGCTTGTTGCTGTTACCAATGAGTTGTATTTAAACGATGAGAGGACGCCACCAGAGGTTACAATTATTGATTCCGAGTATGAAGCATAAGCTATTGGTCCAGGAATTAAAGCATTTGGTAAGGTTCGATGCAGTAGCGCCTGTTCAGCCTCATAGACTGTCAGCGTACAGCTGAGGCTTTGGACACAAAGAAGATCTGCCTGAGACCTAGCAAACTGGCCAGTACACATATTATATGCCAGTTCATGCGTGGCATGTTCGTTGACGACAATCAGTTTACAGTTATTACCTTCTAAAACATTTTCACTCTGATAATGGCTTCAAAAAATCAATTTTTTTAAACGATAAAAATTAGCATCATGTATTCCATCCAGATAAACTTTCAGGTATTAGCGATGTAATAAGTAAATTTCCATAGAGTATTTACTTAAATAAAATGTATGTTGCGAGTTATGTGCTTAACCTCATAAATCTAATTTGGTTTGAAGTTATTTGACCATCTAGGTGCATCATTTCCGTTATATGCTTGCAAATTTCCTCAAAAGTTTAAAAACATATTGTTTTCTGTCCTTTCTTAATCTTATCCTTGTAATTTTCATACAGTAAAAAGATAGAAGAATGTAAAATGTAACATCCATGTCTTTTAAAGAGTACAAAATTATCTTTAGAGTTAATACTACTCTGAAAAAAGATTGAATAATCTTGTCAAAAGGAACTAATCTACAGGCAACAGAATAAGACTTTGTTATCGCTCTGACTAAATCCGTTTTACTACTCTGCAAAATAAATTCTGCTGAATTTGTGTTATCTATTTAGCCAACGATTTTCCGCCGTTACCTGAATATAATTGACATATACAAAGTCTTTGCGTTAGAAGAACGGCCAAGAAGTTGTCATCCGAGGCGGCCAAAAATCTTCCAACAGCAACGCTAATAATCGGCAATTGGAACGAATGTTGAAGAATACACTGCTTTTCTGTGGTTGGATCGCCAGGATCAATAATAGTCAGTTCACCGGCAAAAGTTCCAACTACCAACTGGTCTTAAATGTAACTTTTACTAGATACATCAGCACTTACCGATTACTGATATCAATGGTATAATAACAGGAAAAATGAAACCAGTGCCATAAATACCTTTAAATTCACAAAAGTTGAGACAACCAAACTTATCTTTTTTTACAGTTTGACTGTTACCAAAATCTTCTCAGCAAATAGCAACTGGAAGTAAAACAAATTATTTTTGTTACTGGAGCAATACCTAACTGTTCTGTCTCAAGAAAAAAAAACAGCCAGCTGGAAGTCTTTGTCCTAACCACTGTAATTTGTTTTTTAAACCAACTTAAGCTGATTTAAAAAACGCTCAGAAATGTAAAAGAATCACGTTGCCAGTGGCGAAATTAGAAGTGACTGCTATGAAGAGACAAGAAGTTTCCCCAAAAGATAATTACTGAATGCCACGTAAAACACTACTGGTTTTTTCTTTTTCAGTGCGTCAGAAGTAAAGAAAATCACAACCAACCACGGTTGTCGAAAAATCTGCCAACAGCTAAACTGGAAGCATTTGCGCATTCAATACCAAGGTGCTCGTTGGTCGAGAATAAAGACATTGCAGATGACAAGGAAAAAAAAAACGCAAAAATATTTTTAAATCTCTTGCAGCGCAGTCACCATAGCAACATACCCAGGGATATTTTATTTTCCACAGAACATTTGACAACAAAAAATCAGTTAGCCAAGTGTCAGTCAGTATCGTATCAACAATAACAAAACAAAAAAAAATTTTTTTTTTTCCAGCAAACAAGTGGGAAATAAATAAATAAAACAAAGACTGTTTTGAAAAAGGAATAGTTTGAAGTGATAACAACAGAAACTGAAATGGAATAAGTCGAAGAGAAAAAGCCAAAAGTAACAAGTAACAAAACAAGAAAGAAAAAAACAGAATTTACAGTACACGTTGCTTCTAAGCACATAAAAAAAACATTAAAAGAAAATGATGTGTGTAAAACTTGTAAACGTCATACTTATAAGCGAAGATAACATTTGATGTTACCGCACAACAATTTAATTCTTCTTCTTTGCCTCACGCTTTCTCCGCTTTTCGTCTTCCTGTTTTTGTTTCATCCTGTGTAACCTAACCAACTTGTAAACTACCAAAACTGCAAAATAAATAAATGAATTAATAAATTCCGTAAACAAAAGACAAAAGAAGAAAAAATAGCGAGAAGATTTTATTTTCACGTCCATTAATGCTTGCCAGATAGTTCCAAAAATTTTTTAAAAAGACAGTAAAAAATTACAAAAAAATAAAATTTTTTTGAAACAAAATTCTATGTTAATTTTACAGATATACCTTTATAAAAACTAAACTTTCTCACCAATTACGTCTTTTATAGAAGAAGAAAAAAAAAACAGGACAAATAAATCCCAATATCCAAAGAAAAATACTAAATGAGAGCCAATAAAATAAATCAATAAACAAACAAATAAATAAAATGGTAACAAATCATCGGAACTAAAAATATAAAAACAGACTGCAGTCAACAAAGAATAAACAGTCAATGAAAAAAAATTTTAATGACTGTATTTGTAACTCACCAATTATGGCACTAATAACCAAAGCTGGTATAATAAAGACTGAATTATCAAAACTATGTTGAATACCCTTGCTGCTACTAAGGTCGACCATATTAGAGAAAAATCACAGTAGGAGAGCCCAAAGTTTGTTGCTGATGGGAGTTAGGAATAATTGAAAACGCTGCAACAATTACAATGAATAAAGATCTTAATTTTAAGTTATAAAACCGTTAGACGATCATTAAAAAATACCAATAAATTTTTTCAAATATTGACAGATAGTTCTATCGAGAAAAAAAAAAGAAAAAAAATACAAAAAGTCCAGACAATATTACAACGATTTAATATTAAACTGTTACTAAATTTCTTATTGCTATTTTATAAGTTAACAAAACAGCTGAGCCATCTTAAACAGAGTTCTATTAAAGAGTATAAAGTGACAATAAAAGTAGAGTAAAAGCATCGCAAACACAAATTAGTGTTTTCCGAAAACTGCAAAAACGCACAATTTTCAGAATTTTCTGTAAAAACCTATTTTCCAAACATCGCAATCAATAGACTTACACTTTCTGTACGCTATATGAACTATTGCACTGCTGAAATGATTGAAGCAAAGCAATAACCAAATTTCATGAATTTTAAACGACTATTACTACCCGCAAAAATTTCCACTTTAGAAAAAACCTGTAGATCAGAGAAAGAAAAAAAATGAATGAAGTTAAACTTTCAATGTCAAATACTAATCTACATGAGAGAAAACAGTGAAAAGAAGATTACAAGTCGGGAAGTACTCAGAGTAGAACAAAAATCAGAACATTTAGGCAAAGGAATGAATACAACAACCTTGTAATTTTTCCCATCATATCCCTTTTCATCGTCAAATGTGCACACTCGGGTTTTGCGTCATAAAATAAAACTACGTAGGAAAAGTAAAATTTCAAAAGAAAAAAAAGCGAAAAAAAGAGCCAAATGCAATATTTCTGTTCATTAGGTAGTAATTGTTCATCCGATTAATAATCTTAAGATTTGACTAAGCTGGATATAATATCACCTACTTATTTTAATCCTGTATAATAAATGAATTATGACTCAAAATCAAAACAAAATGAAAAAGAAATGACCATTAAACCGTGCTGCTCACAAAGTATTCGTCCATAACAAAAACAGAGAAGTCATCCGTAAACAACGACCAAAATGAACAATGATTTGCGATCAGACCACCTGAAGTATAACTGAATGACACAAACAAGAAAACAGGCTGAACGAAAACAAATGAATGATTCAAGAGAAGAACCGGGCATATCGACAACCTGTATCAGATACTTCAAACTCATCATTATCACCATTTATCGACATCATCATCGTCATTATCATCATCATCATCTGTACACTCTGTCACCGGGTACAAAAAAACTTTTATTCTTTCAACTTGAAATACCGCTAAGTTTCAAAGCTTTAAAATACTGAAATTCTGTTCTGTTGGCAAAAAATATGGTATATTAGTAAATATACTGCATACAATCTACATAGATAAACCAAATGTAAATGCTTTCAACAGAAGAACGAACGGAAGTAGAAGACGGGGGAAGGTTAAACAAAAAAAATAATAATAATACAGGAACACTGTACTGCGACGAGGAAACTGGGAAGAAGGAAGTTTG